CAATCTTTCAAGTTGCTTTCCTCCTGTATTTTGTAACAGCCACAGAAATCTAACACGCTTACAAATCAAATAAACCAAGTTATTTTTTGTCACACAGTGAGAGAATTGACACGAAATAAATATCATAAAAGGTCTCAATCAAAACAACCATGTTAAAGCAAAGGGACATAAGAGTCAGTGACCCTCAACAGTCACTGTTGGAGGCACTGGTCCATATCGAAAGCCAGCTGAGCACGACACAGTCTTTGTTTTAAAACTACACTTGCTTGCAAAGTGTGATTCCCTGGCTTCTAATATCAACCTCTGTGCTGCTAACTGGGCCCTCTGCATATGCTCTCCTTTTCTGTAGAGAACAGATTGCATTTACACAAAAGGGGCCTCAGCCTGACTCATGTCTGCATATATTAGGGGGTTCAAAGAATCTTTTAGGTTCTTTTAAATTACCTATTTCCTTTAGTCTGGCATTTTCTCTGTCATCATGCTTTATTTATTTTTTCAGGTGAGAACTGTTTATTATGAATATCAGATGGTTTTGTTGACTTGCGGTCAACAAAATTTTCCTGACTGGACAGGAAAGGTTTCCTGCATTGTTAGTCTTCTTACCCCTGAGATAGAGTTGTATTTCGCATGCATGTAAATACATAAATGCAACCTGCTGAATCCATTTAGTTTTATGTTATGTATGTGTTTATAGAGCTGACCACCTGGTATTGGATAACCAGTTAGTGCCTCATCTCTGGGGAAGAGTTGACTATCCCTTTCTTAGTAGTCATTGCTGCAGCTCTTTATCTAGAAATTTCCCCTATGCACATTGGCGTGTCAACTGGCACTGTCATTGTTTAGTACTGTTTGCGTGACCATAATTTTGTGATTTCATGGGTGTAAGTTCCCTCCCATGTCTAGAGGACACTACTTGTGCCAGGGGATGTTTTTCTGCACGCTGTGAATATATGTTGTTTCCACTGGTTAATAAATAAGCTGCTTTGGTCTATGGCAAGGCAGCTTAGAGGCAGGCGGGAAATCGAAGGAAAGAGAAAGGTGGATTCTGGAGAGACGCCAGCCTACTGCCCAAGGGAGCAACGTGCCAGCAGACAAGTAAAACCATGGAACATGTGGCAGTACATAGATTAATAGTTATGGGTTAAATTAAGTTATAAGAGCTAGCTAGCAAAAGGCCTGCCATAAGCCATATAGTTTGTAATTAATTTAAGTCTCTGAGTGATTAATTTATAAGCGGTTGTGGGACCACGGGGCTGGGCAGGACCAGAGAAAACTTGAGGCTACACTACTTGGGCATCCTGGTCCCCTGACTTTTACAATTTCTCTGTCCCTTCTTCCACAATGTTCCATGAACCTTAGGCATCAGGTTGTGTTGTAGATGTATTCATGGGGATGGACATCCCATGGTTAGTTATTACTTGCATTTTAACCAGTTCTAGCTTTCTGTAATAGTCTCCATCTGCTGCAGAAAAGAAGCTTCTTTGACAATGGGTGAGAGCTACACTTATCTGTGTCTAAAGGTAAGTATTTAGGATGTAGTTAGAAATTATACTGGTTTAGGGCCCTTGGTCTCACCATCCATGGGTAATTGTCTCAGTTGACAGTACCAGACATGAATTCACTCCTATTGAGCGGGTCTTAGGTCCAATTAGACAACTGTTTTTAAAACTAAGACCACTGTTCTTGCCATGCTGATTATGGCTATATTTCATAGACATCACAGCTGGATAGGAAACTGATTGCTTCCCCAAATTTGAAGGTAAATCCTTATTGCTGAAGTTACACACAATTTGGACACAGAACTTGAAGGACTTGAGCTGGAACTGACCTGGAAGCCTCCTCCCTGTACTAATGGCCTTCACTCATAGTACTCAATGGTGTTGCACAGCTGACAAGAGAGAGAAACAATCACTAGCTCAACCCAGCTATGCTCTCTTTTAAAACCAATTTCTTATATCTTATAGGGGTTAATTCCATTAGACAAATGCCACACTCACAAATCTATTCAATATAAATTCTCTACCTTTGTACCTCATGTGAAGCTTCTAGATGACTAAACCCCTAAATTCTAGGTGTGTGTGTGTGTGTGTGTGTGTGTGTGTATGTATGTATGTGTGTGTGTGTTTGTGTGTGTGTGTGTACTAAATAAATGTAATTTTAAAAGATAATCTGAAAACTTTTATTTCTCTTAGTTCTGTGGGTATAAAGTCCTGGATGGAATCTGGTGTCTAGTGCCCAGTGCATGTAATACCTAATGCAGCCACTCATGCTAGAGTTTTTCATTGACATGTCTTATTTCTTGCTGTTACATCCCTTGTCTAGTTTTATATCAACTTGACCCAAGCCATAGTCACCTGAAAGGAGTGAATCCCAGTTGAGAAAATACCTCTATAAGATCTGGCTCTAAGTAGAAAATTAGAGTCTGATGAGGAGGGACTAACCCATGGTGTGTGGTGGTACCCCTGGGCTGCTGGTCTTGGATTTTATATGAAAGCAAGCTGTGTTAGCCATGATGAGCAAGTCAGTAAGCTACACTCCTCCACGGCTTCTTCATCAGCTCGTACCTCCAGCTTCCTGCCCTGACATCCTTCAAGGATGAATAGTGATGTGGAAGTATAAGCCTTATTATTAAACCCTTTCCTCCCCAACTTGCTTTTGGTCATGGTGCTTCATCATGGCAATAATAACCCTAACTGTGTCAGTGTTCCTCAGACTCACTATTAAGAAAACAGTTTACTGTCCAAGCCTTCAAGTCCATCATGGTAGCCTTTGTGATGGTCTAACTGTTCTCCAAGACTTTAGTCCTCTCAAATCCTGAACTTGAGCCTGACAAACTATTTTGGTAAAATTATTCAAAGATAAGCACAGATTCAAGGGATGGAACACCAATCTCATACACCACAGAGAGACAGATTAAAGAATTTTCAGCCCTCCTTAATCTTCTAAGTGCAATGTTAATGAGATTATAGGGAACCTACATATAGATTCACATGCAGTAAATGTGGGAATGTCAGTGTACAAAGTCCCTGTAGAGTGTAATTTGTTGGTAAAGAGTGGAAATAGATGTGCAATACACTTGACCCAGCAATACTTCTTCTGGAATTTTGTTCCAAAAATACTGTCAAAATTTGAAATTATGTGACATATAAAGCTATTTGTAGCATATAATGGCAAAATATGGGAAGCCACAAAACTCTCTGTGTTCATTTAGATTTAAGCAACAGTTACTTTAGTGTAGTTACTGGATAAATGAAGAGATGAGGGTGGAGAGTTCCAGAGGATCTGACACTCAGGTACCTTCACAGGTAACACACACACACACACACACACACACACACACACACACACACACACGCACACATGGAGTACACATAAATACACATAGGCAAGACGCTCATACATAAAATAAGATAAATAGCTCTTTAAAAGTACTATATGGCAGACTGTTGGCTTAACAGATTTTTTTTCTCACGGTTCTGATGGATTTCAGGTTCAAGACATTGTATTAATTCAGAATCTGGTGATAGATAGCTCCGTGGTTTGTAAACAAATGTCTTCTTGCTGTTCCTTCACATGGTGAAGAGAGATCATCTTTTTCATCCATTGGGTACAAGTCCCATTCATAGCCAGGCATGGTGACACACACCTTTAATCCCAACTCTCGGGAGGCAGAAGCAGGCAAATGTCTGAGTTTGAGACCAGCCTGGTCTATAGAGCTAGTCCTAAGACATCCAGGCCTACTCATAGAAATCCTGTCTCAAAAAAATCCCATTCATAAGAGCTCTAACTGTGTCCAAAGGTCTTACCTTCAAATACCATCCCACTGGAAATTAGAACTTTAACATACAATTTCTGAAGAGACACAGACCATTCAGTCTATAGCATTTGCCCAGATATCGTAGATCAAACTATGGTACTTCAATACAATGGATACAATGAACTTTAATATGGTATCCAGAAGATTTCTGCAGAGTGATTCCACATGATCTTCAGGACCTGTCCTTAAGTGGTAAAAAAACAGATCCAACACATGATGCATATGTGGCCATTTTTAAAGTAGGATTGATTCAACTCTGCATAATTATTTGCTAAATTTTCTAAAACTAAAGACTAAAAAGATAAACCAAAAGCTAATATCATAGTTATTTGACAATGGAGGGAAGAAAATAAGATAGAGATTATATCTAGGGCTAGATATATTTTTGAGTATGTATAGGTGTGTGTGTGTGTGTGTGTATGTGTGTGTGTGTGTGTGTATTTGTGTATATGCACACACATTCATATGAATGCCAAAATATATGTATGGTCAGAGGACAACTCAGGTGTCAGTTCTCTGCTTCTGTCTCACTGAGGCAGTTCATTATTTGGTTCCAATCAAGGACAGAGCAAGAAAAATATTTGCTCCAAAATGAAAATGAACTGAAAGTGAAACTTACGCTCAAGTTGATGGATATGTTCATTCTCCATTGCTATAACAAATGATCTGAGGCTAGGTAGCTTGCACAGATGTTTATTTTTCTCACAGTATTGGGGCCAAATGTTTGCTATTGGACAAACCCATTGACATAGCCTCTTACATTTGCTGAGTCACCTCATGGAAGATAGCATGGTGATGAGAAAACAAGCAAAAATGCAAAAAGGAGAAATCAGATGAGAAGCCAGACACCAAGGAGGTTCACTTTTAATGTTTTATAGCAACCCTCTAACCAGGGTCTCACAGGAACTTTATCAATTCCTCCCATGGACAACATTCTCAATGACTTAAACAACCCCCTCTTGGCCTTCTTGGCAAGATCCATTCAAAACCTATTCAAAACAAGCAGAGCCAGTATGACCTCAAGGACCACCTGTTAACCCATTCTTTCTGGATTTCTGCACGTGGCTCCTCCATTTCCCAGTCCTTCCAAGAACATTCACATCCTAGGGTTGTAGTTTAAATTACTAACACTTGAGTCACTTTTTTTGTTTTTTTGTTTGTTTGGTTTTTTTTTGGGGGGGGGTTGTTTTTTACTTTTTGTATCATAAGTCCGTGGTCAGCTTGCTCCATTGATTATTTCAAAGTAGTACCAAGCATACATACAAGAGTCTGCAATTATAAAATAACATTAGATTAATACATCTTAATCAATTTCAAATATTTATGTAATATTTTTTTTGAAAATTAACAAATGATAGAACTACCTTTTGTCTCTATCTGGACACATATACACTTAAAGCAAGTAAGCCTTTTCCTATTGTATCATCTATAGCCAAGGTTAACCAGATTATAATCTTGCTTCACTCTTCAGTTTCTATGGTTTCCCCAGTTGTCCTTTCCTTGTTTGTGACTCTGGATGGTACATGGTCTACCTTGGTCCTCATCATCTACTGGGATGCAGAAAACTATTAAGGCATGACCATAAAATGACAAGGGGACACAAGTGAAATATCAAATAGTTCATCAATTATCTTCCAAAGACTGAATCTCTTCGGGGAATAGAATGGAGTTCCCAAGGGTAAAAGCATGGCAGAAGCTAGTAAAGATTTTGGAGTGCCAGTTCTACACAGAGACTGTTCAAGGATGACACAGCCAAACATACTTTGAGAACTACTGCAGGAGGAAAAGGACATCAGAAAGGTCAGTTGACTCAGTTATTCAGATGTTGTCTTGAGATATGATGATTGCCTAATTAGATCTATGTTTTCAAGAGATGGGCTCTTTAAAATGCTAAGAACAGACTAAGGATGGGACAGGGTAGGCACAAAAGACCAGCAAGGTACCCCTGGTATACACAGCAGCATTTTATATAAATGGGGTGAGTTTTCAAGGTTGAAGTTTGAACAGAAACTCTAGTAGGTTTGAACAGATAGCCAGAGTAACATCTCCAAGGTGATTAAACAGGTACCCTTTTTCTACTAATTCAATATTTTATGCAATTAATATTCCACTTCATTCAGATGTTTGTTCAAATTGGGCAGTGTGCAGAGAAAGATAACGAACAAAACATATAAAAAAAAAATCCTGTTTCATGAGATTTGTGTATATTCACAGAAAGTCTCCAAAAGGGTTTCTAAACTGCCAGATAATAACAAAGAGAACAGACAAACTAGGCCAGCAGACATGTGGAAAACAAGGTCATGGATGTTTAATGAAAGGAACAACAATTAACAAAGATTCACTCTTCTGGGCTGGAGAGATGGCTCAGTGGTTAAGAGCACTGGCTGCTCTTCTAGAGGTCCTGAGTTCAATTCTCAGCAACTACATGGTGGTTCACAACCATCTATAGTGGGATTTGATACCTTCTTCTGGCATAAAGTCATACACGCAGATAGAGTATCACATACATAAAATAAATAAGTCTTTGACCGGGTGGTGGTGGCACACGCCTATAATCCCAGCACTCGGGAGGCAGAGCCAGGTGGATCATTGTGAGTTCGAGGCCAGCCTGAACTACCAAGTGAGTTCCAGGAAAGGTGCAAAGCTACACAGAGAAACCCTGTCTCGAAAAAAAAAAAAAAAATTCACTCTTCACTTTTGTTTGCTAAATAAATACAAACAGTTGGGTGGGACAGATATTATCATTTCTCAATTAAGTTTTATTTGCTGCTTAAGATAATAAACAACAGCTAAGAACACATTAAGAATTACCTGTACCTGATGACAATATTTCTGAAAGATACTCTCATCTTTCTATAAGTCTCAGAAATATGCTTAGATTCATACATACAATAATATTTTGTTGCCAAACTTAATGTATAGGCTGTTAAGTTAGATATATCTTCTTAACCAGGCAAACAAGCCTTCGTCTCTTTGGGACCAAAAGGTATTCAATGATATAGTATATAAAGTCCAGCTATTAACAGACAAGTTAAAATGGACAAAACAGTCAAAATTACTGACAATTCAATAATATTGACTCTTCTTTTTGGTGATGTTGGACCACTATCAACACTACCTCCATAGCCCCTGTGCAGGCAGAAAGGCAGGGACCACCCATAGTCACAATGGCAGTGATGTTTGTTATTACAGATCCCCCTCCTATTACAGGTCTCAGGAAGGCAGGCATTTGAAAGGACAGACAGGCTGATACACTTCTTGTGTATGCAGATCTTTCCTGCTCCACAGGTGGTGCCATCTTTCACTTCACCAACATCCGGTACACCCATCCCCAAATGATGGTCAGTACTCCAGCAGGCGACACCATCGGCATAAATGTTCTGCAAAACAGAGTGAGCCTGGAGATGGAGAATGTTTTCCACGTTTTCACACTGAACTTTCCCACAAAATATATCTGACATTCTACATTTTAGGTATATTGTGCCATTTGTGCCACAGTGGCCAAACCTGTTTCCCTGTGAGTTCATTTCTTTGTAACAGTTAGGAGATGCACTTCTTGCACTTTTGCCAAAAATCTCCCTGCATTGTTGGTCATGGTTATTGCACTGCTTTTGATAGCAGTAGGCACTGACACCACAGGAGACCCCATTCTGTACATAGCCATCTTCTGGGCACTGGTGGGATGTTCCATTGCACCATTCTGGAAGGTCACATTCATTGACCTTTGGTCTACAGAGTTCCCCTGAGAGCATGAGTTTGCAGTCTTTGCAACAAAGCCCAAAAGCACATGCAGCCCCAGGCCGCAGTTTACAGTTCAACAAACAACAGGGATCCTGTTCACAGTCATGTATAGATCCACAGTCACACTCTTCTTCTTTCTCAACCACACCATTCCCACAGCGCTTCACCAGAAAGACTGCCCCTGGTCTTGGATGATTGTGCAAACAAGTTCCTTGGTTTAAAGTAGTCTCCACAAAATCATGATAGCTACAATTGGTGAATCTCTCTGCTGGTACTCTGAACTCACTCATGACACAACCTCTTTCCCCACAAGTACAGGATTCTTCATCATGCTGCATACCAAAAGTATGACCTAATTCATGGGCCACAGTGTTGGCAAAAAGAGACCAGGAGTCTCCTTGGAAATTTTCAACCCCACAGTCAAGTGGAGGATGACATATTCCTGCAACATAGGCTATACCAAGTACACTTATAAGTGAGCTTCTGATGAAAATATGGGCTGCATCATGAGGTACCTGAGAAAGACTGATTTGTTTCCACTCCGAAAAATCTTCTAAGACCTGATGAATGTTTTCCACTGGGAAAACATTTCCTCGATTCCAAATCTCAATGCCAATCAAAGACACATAGGTATCCAGCTGCTTGTACATGGAATCCACCATGTTAACAATGAGAACCACATCTTCTCGCACCTTTGACAAATTTTGTTGAGAGTAAGTGAAGAAACCATAGTCTACCACTACAGCCAGCTCCAGAAACCATGTGTGGGTCCATGATTTTCCAGAATTTTGCTTCACAGCTGACCTCTCAGCTTCTTCAAGTCCAAAGCGTTGGTTTGGTATTCTCTTCTCTGTTACACCACATATCATAGGTGGAAACTGTGTCTTGTTATTGTTCAGTGTATAGACTAGGTGTTCAAATGTGCTGGACTGCCTGATGGGTTCGATTTCATAGGAGAAGCCATTCACTTGTAACACTCCCTGAAACCCCCCACTGCAGGTACTTAACGCAACTAAAGACTCAGGAGCCCCCTCTATGAAACCATGATAGTAACAGTCACTAGGGACGAAGGGGTAATCCTTGAGAAGGGTATGTTCCTCTGTGTAGGTGAGCACAGAGAAGTGAGTAGGAACCAGCAGCTTCTTGACTCTCATGTGGACAACATGTCTTTGGCCCCCAAAAATCAGGCTGTAGGAGAGCCATCCTGAATTTTTTGTACCTCTGGCCCTGCTGGTCACCTTTAGGGGGATGACCACTTCTGGAGAACTGAGGTATTGAGTGGACCCAGTCTGTGAGAGGTCGATAGGGGACAGAAACACCTTAAGGCAGAGCAGCAGAAGAGTGACTCTCATGAGTGCTCCAGCATCTGCATCTAATATTATGAAGCCATCTGCCCAGAGCAGAAAAAGACTGGGTGTGAGACACTCCTGTTCTGACTCTTCCCCTGGAGCTGATCAGAGAGTGGTGGTAACATTTAGAGATGGTATACTGGCAGAGTTGGACCATCAGAGCCACAGTGCTGAAAGTGAAAAGAATTATTGGATAAGGTGAGACATTCAAGTGAGAAAATACTGACTGATGAGTCAAGACAGTGTTTTTGGATTTGGTTTCAATAAATAGAGTGAAAAGTTCTGGGGTAAGGGTAGAGAAGATGATATTGGCCATATGTTGATAACTGCCTAAGTATGAAGATAAGTACTTATACAATCAGCTTAATCCTTACAGGTGATATGAAAAATCTATAATAAAAAGTTAAAGCAGAATTAGGAGTAGAATGAGTCTACATCTTGATTTGTCTAATAGTATTACTAGTTCACATTTGGGTGCCTTTGCATAACAATTGATAGTGTTCCACCTGGTGGCTAAAACTGGAAACAATAAATAATCAACAATCCGTATAAATTTGCACTAGTCTTGGGATTTACATGAATTGTTCTTTATTTGTTGTCTCCTCATTGGACTCTCCTTTATCTGTATGTAGTACATTGCAAGGTCCTTAACTACAGGGTTCATAACGTTCATTTTAACATCTTCTGTAATACCCAGTATATTTCTATAAACCATGAAAAAGTAGAGAGATGTGGTGGAACACCTTAGATTATAAATGAATGTTATTTAAAATGGATTCGTCTCTAATTATAATTTTGGAAGGGGGAAAATTCATGAAACGCCTGTAAGGATATAGGAAGAAAATGTTATCAGTTACCTGGAGAAAATAGAAATGTCAAAAGGAAATGTCTCCAAAAGGAAAATGAGAACACATGCAATTTAAAGTCCCAAGCACTGACTGTATGGTATTTAGGACTGCTGTGGAAGAATTTCAGTTTCAAAAACATATACTTTTGAAAATGGAGAATTTCTGCACCTGACATACAACCTCACTGGCAACACATCCATGTCTTTATTCATTAAAAAAAAGGATTTATGTATTTAGAGAATACAAAGTACAGAATGTTGTGCCAGACCTGGGGGGATCAAAATATAGAAAATGAATATATATTATCAATTTAGTGCAGAAACTCATAATAGAAACATGAATAAACTTTATGGGGTCTCTATGATTGTGTGCAAGGTTTTATATTGAATAAATTAAAGTTCTCTAGTTGTTTTTTTTTTCTTTTTTTCTTTCTTTCTTTTTTTTTTTTTTTTGAGACAGGGTTTCTCTGTATAGCTTTGGAGCCTATCCTGAAACTCGCTCTGTTGACCAGGTTGGCCTTGAACTCACAGAGCTCCTCCTGCCTCTGCCTCCCAAGTGCTGGGATTAAAGGCACGTGCCACTACCGCCCAGCTAAAGTTCTCTTGTTATTCTGAGAGAAAAAGTCTTAAGACTTCATCATAGTTTCAACTAACTTATACAAACCAAGAGAAGGAAACCAGCATTTATAATACCCATTGAAACAAACCAGACTGATCCGAGGTTAACAAAGTTCATGCTTTGGGGATCCTCATTGCAGGCCTCTAGAAATACACTAAGGAGGCCTCACAATACACTTAATACAAGTCACCAATCATACCTCATAAACAAAAACAGAATTTCTGAAATTGGATAATATATGGGTAATATATATATATATATATATATATATATATATA